CAAGGCTAAAGAGTATCTCCAAAAAGCGCTTGTCATCACAACTGAAATTGGTGATAAGAAAGGGAAAGCAGCACATCTTTCAAACCTTGGAAGAGTGTTTAGAACTGTTGGTGATTATGAAGCTTCGGAAGTATGCTTGGAGAAAGCTTTATACATATCCAGAGATATTGGAGCTGGAAGAACAGAGTTCGAAATCCTTCGAGGCTACGCCATTTTGTATTTATCTCAAAATAAAATCAAAGACTCTCTGTCGTGTCTTCATCTGTGCATTGAAAAGTATGAAGAGCTGAGATATTTTTTGGGCGCCAATGATGAGTTCAAAACATCATTGCTGGAGCACTCAGGAATATTTCCCTACAAGCTGCTTTGTACTTTGCTCTGTGACACCGGAAATGCTCGGGATGCTCTCTATGTCGAAGAGTTGGGTCGAGCTAGAGGCCTATCAGACTTAATGGCAGAGAAGTACTCGGTTGAAACGCATATCTTTGCTAATCCACAATCTTGGTTTGGCATTGAGAACATTTTAAGAAAGAAAAATAACTGTACTTGTCTGTACATTTCTTATTTTCAGAATCTTCTGCATTTGTGGATCTTGAAAACAAGTGGAGTCCTTCACCATAGAAGAATATCAGTAGAAGAGAATCTAGTTCAGGCTGGTTTGCCCAAAGATTTGTCTTTGAGTCAATTTTTGGATGATGATTTCCGGGGTCTTGGTATTTTGCCTACTAAAGATTGTGAAGATCGGTCTTTAAATACGATTAACGTGCAACCTCTCTCCCCCGCACAAAAGAGCTCAGCAACATTGCGACTCGTCGAGGAGGACGAGGACAAGGAAGTCATTTCAAGTCTATCTTTGTGTTACAAAATTTTTATCGCTCCCGTTTATGATTTGCTGGAGGAGCCTGAAGTCATCATCGTTCCTGACCGCAGTTTGTACAAAGTTCCATTCGCTGCACTGAGTGAAAAGGAGGGAGCCGAATTCCTCTCGGAGACTCATAAGATCCGTGTCATTCCTTCCTTGACAACACTCAAGATTATTCAAGATAGTCCAGAGGGCTATCACAGCAACACTGGTGCCTTGATAATAGGAAATCCCAAGGTTGATGGGCTGCCGTCATTGCCATGTGCAAGAAGGGAAGCTGAGATGGTTGGACGACTGATGTGTGTTCCGCCTCTGGTAGAAGAGAAAGCAACGAAGCAGGCGGTGCTTGAGCGGATAGGTTCAGTGAGCCTGATACATTTTGCTGCCCATGGCAACGCCCAAAGAGGAGAAATTGCCCTCTCCCCCATTCCTATTCCCAACAGTCAAAATGCTATCCCACCACGTGCACGCGAAGCTTACATGTTGACGATGGCTGATGTCTCACGAGTGAAAGTTAGAGCTAAACTGGTGGTACTTAGCTGCTGTCACAGTGGAAGAGGTGAGATAACAGCCGAGGGAGTGATAGGAATTGCCCGTGCGTTCTTAGGATCTGGTGCTCGCTCGGTGTTAGCTGCGCTGTGGGCCATTCCAGACTTAGCAACGGAGCAGCTGATGAATCGGTTCTACAAACACCTTGTTGAAGGAGAAAGTGCCAGTGAATCCCTTCATAAAGCCATGAAGTGGATGAGAAAAAACGGCTCGAGAAAAATGTCTGAGTGGGCTTCGTTTACGCTGATTGGAGATGATGTGAGGCTCGAGTTTGACCCTGAAGCAGAGGTAAGACTCGGTCAGAACAGGTATTTCATAAATGAAAGTTAAATTAGATGTGAAGGTGGCTTTGACTTACTGGTCGCTGACTGTCGGCGGGAATCCTTTGTCACCATGAATGCCAAAGCTACTTTTATACCATTTTTTTTGGTTTCTTTCAAATAGTAACAATCGATTCTCCCAATTAGATGTAAAATATATAATCTAGAAGGCGCCTTTCTGCCGATAAGATACAAGTACACATTTGCCTACATATTGCGCCTGGTATAACTGTTTATTTATAATTGTTTTTCTTCTTTACGTTTGTTGTAGGAAAGAGGATGAGAATATCTCGAAGGAAACAGACCTTAGAGACTTTTAAATGGATGAACAAATAGAACGAGTTAAAAAAAATTCTCTATCAGTTATTTTATTGTGTAATTAAAGAATGGGCAATCTTCAATTAAGCATGTTAATTATAATTTTTTTTGCGTTTTCTTTTCCGATCTTCTCAGAAGGAGGTATTGGTTACGTATTCGAGAGAGATTTTATTCTGCGCAAAAATGATCTTATCCGGCCCATATAAGTAGCACGAAACATTATTGACGAAGGGCTCTTAAGTAAAGTGAAATCAGGAAAGTTGAAACAGTAGTTTAAGCATCAAAAATGAGCCAGTTGTCTTAAAGGGTTTTCTCTCAAAGCCTTTGATTTTTTTGTTATAGGTTTCGTTCACAGAATCCTAAATTTTTGACAAAAAGTCTTAAAAGAAAACCTTTCCTTATGGTCATTTCCAGTACCACTTCTTAGTGCTTAAAAGACTGAAAAATACATGGATTTCTAAAAAGGACCATGGAAAAAGCTATCAAAGTCAAGAATGGTATTACTAGAAAGTGGAAAAGTTACGGCAGCAATATTTTGAGAGTAGTTCAATAAGTCACTTAAGCATCGTAATGTTTGATACGTTTTAATTTTTTCATGGTGATTTAATCGTTTTCAAGTCAGGTTATTGTCAGAAAGTTGGTTTGAGAATAAAAATATTCTTGTTTTTACCACACTTTTATACACTCCTCTTTTTTGGGAAACTTTCCTAAGGGATTATGTAGTAATTCCAAAGACGCTAATATAAAAGAGAGCTTGAGAGAAATCTTAGAAAATATCGTGAGCGTCTGTTTTAACCAGGTTACAGAGTAAAACAGAAAGCACTGTTGTTTATTGTTCAGGCGTGCATTTCTCTGATCGTTTCTCCTCCATCCATGTGACTTGATTCTCGTCCTACAATCAAAAAAATTCTGGCGATGAAGTTCTGGTGATCAGCATTCCAGTGTCAAATAGTAATCCTAATACATGTATCACTAGATATAGCGTCAAATTATCGTATTATAGGAGCCAAACGAGTTTTTCATCCCTTCATTTGATGCAAATGAGATTAATTTCATTCTTGAGGCATGAAAAAGTAATTGCATGCACGAAAAAAGGCTCGATCATGTCACGTTTTCTTGATATGGTGTCCTTCTCGTCTCCTTCTTTAGCTATTTCTAAGGGCATTTAACATCACACTTATTATTCCGAACGTTAATATACCTGAACTATGAGTATCAGTGCATGAGGAATTCTTATTCCTACCCCAACCTACTCGTCCCAAACCCCTTCCCTCCTTCACTTCGCTCTGCTTAAAAAAGGAAATTAAGGAGATGGATTCTGGCCGGTTTTGTTCGGAAACCTTTCTGTGAGTTATGTTTCTTATGAATCAAGAACATCGATCATTCCTACCCCAACCTACTTGCCCCAACCTCCCTCCCTCCCCCACTCCGTTCTGCTTCAAAGAGCGAATATAGTAGTAATCAGTTTGCTGGACAAATTTTTTATTCTTTTTGCTCTCGACCAATTAGCCCGCAACAGTTCTCACAGTTATTTTAAAAGCTTTTAATAAGAAATTCCTACGCAAAATTTTGAAGTCATTCTGAAATTTTGTAGGTAACTGGCTTTTCTTTCTGTTCTGGTAGTGTTGCGCTTTTTCTAGACCATGAAATGTTACTGTCAAGTGCAATTTCTTGGGCATTTTACTTTACTTCCAATGCACAGAGGCGTAAGTAAAAAGGAACTTAGCAACAGTGCTTAGCAACAGTGCTTAACAACAGTTAGGTGATTCGATATATGAGCTGATTACCTGAGGTGAGTGAAAAAATTAGAACACTAGAAATGAAATATCCGGAGGCAAAAATTTGAGAGTGTCCACAGGAGCACCAGGCAGTCTTGCTACATGCCATCTCACTGGTTTCGATGAAACTTTGCCAGTTTAAAGGGTCTACCCCAAAACTCAAACAGACAAACTGGTTTCCGGTTTTGGTTCTTTCCGCGGAAGGATAGACCACTTCCTGGTTTCTCTCGTTTTCACCGGGGAAATAGCTTCAAAATGGGCAAAATGTATGAAGCTCTCACTGCGATGCAACAAAATTTGAGAGGGGGTCAATGTTTAGTGACAATAGGAGACAGACAACTCTGAAACGTCATGTAACTGTCAAAGAGTTTACACTTCTAGTAATATGTTCCCCTCTCTCGCAACAGCTCAGCAGATAGTATTGATCCTATGCAGTGTACGTGTATCAGTTGTATTGCGACCTCATAGTGATGCTACATAAGTGAGCGAGTGTCTAAAAATCCCTCAATTCAATCTAAAACTCGAATTGACTTACTAGCCTGGTGTACCACTTTGGATGGGCCCTTTGGAAAACACAAAAAGCTTATGCCTTTTTCTCAGAAAGCAAAGAAGTCTCTTCTAAACGTGTGCCGGACAGGGGAGGAAACTAGTAAGAAGTGTGGCTTCTCAAATATGGAGTTTAAGAGACGACACCAGCCAGAAATGTTGTATAGGACAGACTGGTTGATAGAGCAGCAGATCGCTTGATACTTCAGCCGAATATCTGCCTTGACAAAAGCTGGTTTATTGAAGAGGTTTTCCTCTGTAAGTATGAATAAGGACGAAGAGGTTGATGCAGATGATCTAGTTTCAGAAACTGACCGAACAATAAGAAGGGACCTTGAAAAATTTAGACGAAGACTGCAAGGGAGGGTACAGCTGGCAGCTGCCACGGGCTATAAAAAAAATACAGACCTTTGCATCACACTTTCCTCTCAAATTTATCGTCTTTACCCATGAAAACAACGGGATATGTCCTTGGGTTTTTTCATCATGGGAAATTTGCAGGAAGCCTACTGGTCAAAATATTGCTGGCTCATTCTTCGAGT